GTACAACAATCAATGTTATAGGTCAAATCTTTCTAGTCTTGGGACTTCAAGAAGGATATTATTATTTACATTTATTTACACAATTTATTCGCCACCCATCTCACTTTTCCAAGCGACTCTGGGCAACGTACATATGTTGGAAAAGATGAAACAAAGGCCCTACAGCTACTCCCCTTTGAAGAAAGATTGTAACACTTGGAGCTCTTAACTTGGAAAAAAGAGAAATAAGGGAAAAGTAGATAGGATAATGTTTTCCTCCCTCTCTTATATAATATCAATATCTGGGATTACCCAGCTGAATAACTGGAGATTGGTGACAGATAAGATGAATAACTGGAGATTGGTGACAGATAAAATGAAGTCCCTTTTCACACAGTGCAGTTACGCTATGAATTTTGTTAGCAGAGAGGTAGTTATGGCCATCAACTGGTAAGGATTTAAAATGGAATCAGTGAGAGAAAATAAAATTTCCAGTGGTTACTAGTTGTAAGAATCCACATATTCACTCTAATATTGGAAGAATGTCAGTTCTAGAGAACATGAGCAGGAGGCTGCTATTGGGCTCCAATCAAGTTTATGATTTCTCAGAAGCATGTGGCTGGCTACTGTTTGGCTACTGGGGAAAACAAGATGGCAGAGTAGAGTTCTACATGGCTCATCTTATACTCTTGTCTTCTGTCTTCTCTTAAGGCATGATTATTCTGAAGCTGTCCTAGGGTGGCAGCTGGGACTGAAAGGGGCAATCTCCAATGGAACTACTAGGAGGTGTGTCCATAGAAATTAGTACAGGATGCAACATATGAAAGGTCTAGGCTGTAGAGGAAATGGAGTACATAAATGGACCAAAATAAGGAAGCTGATGGAGAAAGAGAATTAGCTACCGGTGTTAGCTTTTAAGAATTTAATTCTTCAGGGAGTCCAAAGAAATAGCTAAAACCTCAGAACCAAGGTCAGGCTATTTTTGTTGGGTTCAAACAGAGCTTTTACTTCACCCACAAATGTACCAAGTCCCATTTCCCATACCTGCAAGGAGCCATTATGACAATGAGTCCACTTGGAGGATTGGACTTGAAATGGTATAAAGAGAAAATACTGAGAGCCACCTAGGAGGAGGCAACAGATCAATTCTTGTATAAATAAATTATTGTATAAATAAATAAATATGTGCAGATGGGAACATGAGAGAAACCTGATAAATATATGAAGCAATCATCACAGATTAAAAAGAAAAAAAACAAAAGCTAGAACTTTATAGATGGAGGACATTATTATAATTGTGAAACATTAGGGCTGCTTGCCAATGAAGACAATACAGCTTCACCAAATAACAAGGTTAAAAAATGAATTCCCCCAAGGGACTTTAATCAACATTTCCATTATATGGAGTGTAATGTTGGATCAAATGAAAGGCCTGTGAAGTGCAATGTCTTGTTTCCTACATTTGCCAACTGGATATCTGTGGGAAGCCCACAGGCATAGCAGGAAATCAAGTACCTTATCCTGCAAACTGTATTCAGTAGCATCAGCAGTAGATCCTTCCATTTCTGGCTATGAAGCTTCCATTTAAGCATCACAGCTACTTGGGGAAAGAGGAGCAAGACCAGTCAGGAATAAATGCCAGCCAAACACAAAATCTATGTACTAGGTCTTGTTTCAGCTGAAGAGAAGAACTAGTAATTAAGTTGGTGGCTTTGTAGAAGAACTGGGCACTACAAAAATACTTTTTAGGCTGGAATTCTAGGTAACAGGAGGCACCAAGGGGAGAGAAGGGAAGGAATCTTTTTTAGATGCCAAGAGACCATTGCAGAGGGTTTTAAAAGGGGGGCATCAGATCCTGTTGTGTCAGAGAAAAATGTTTAAAAATGGGGGTACAGAGATTTTATTTTAAGGAACTTTCTATTAGGGTTTATATTCTACTCACATTTTGCCATGATTGACAACAACATGGAGGAAAAGAATGTTATACTATAAGGAAACTGGTGATGTTGTATCAATAGGAAGAAGAATGTCAGAAAACAGACAAAGAAAACTGGAGAGGGAAAACATGGGAAACAGGGAAAGAAAGTTAACCAGCAAGAGAGAGAAAGGAGTATCATGAGTACTCCTGCAGCCGGGCCAAAGACAATCCCTGCAGCCACATGTGTTCATTGACCTGAGCCATTTCATGATAAATGCACATCTTCCTCTCCCGCATGAAGGCCTCTGGAAGAGACAGGTCAGAAAGCAGTGGAAAAGCCAACAGAGACAAAGGAGGAGGCTGCAATGAGTGAAAACAAGAACTGTTGGGGTGTGCGGGACTTGGAAAAGAAGGGGAAGAGAACCAGAAAACAAAAAGGAAAGTGTGGGCATCTTCCAAACAAAGGAGTTAGCTTAAAAAATTCTCTCCCTGTTTGTTCACTGTTTATAAATCATCCAGGCAGCATGGTCATCAAATCATCATTATTCTTTCATCCCTCCCTATTCCCAATTCACAACTCTTCTTCCGTTTCTTTTAGTATTCCTTCTAAGAAAAAGAAACCTGGGGTAAATCATCTTAAAGCTGTCATACAGTCTTTTTGTTCTGGGTTCCTGTCCTTTGTTTAATTCGCATCCAAGCTGTGCAATCAATTTTCTTCCTTCCCTTTGGGTCAGCAGAGAATGTATGTGGAGGCTGTAAGAAAGCAAATTTCCTTGCTGTTTTGCAAGGCTCCATAAGGCTTGGTTCAGAAGGAGGGGTGCCATTGTGGGACAGAAATACGGGTAGCAGGTCTGAGTGGGAGAAGACTGACAGCTGATGGTGCTTCTTCTGCTATAAGCATAGAAGCAGCCACTGAGGAAGGATCCCTTCCCCCTCCCCATGTTTATAGTATAGAAATCCAATTATTTAAATGAGCAGTGGGTTAATTCACAACTGAGAGCACACTGCATGCGTGGTCACAACTGAGGGTGTGGCATACATCTTCTTCCCTTGATATGTTTAGCCATCTTCCTTTTGGCAATTAACAAGCAGAGTGTAGTCCTCAGAGCAGGGAGGGGAAAGCCAGGCCCACAACTCCTGTTGCACCCCATTAAAACGTTTCCACACTGTCTGATATTTAATTCCCAAGATTTGGTTCTCAGTACCTATACATAGGAGGCTGTTACTGGATGGGTTAACAGTAGTAAAGAGTCAGTTGATAGGTATTGTGGTACCATGACATTTTCTCTTCTGTTTTTGAAATATTTGCACGTGCAGAAGTCACAGCAGTTGTATACCATCAAGTGTATATTTATATATTTTGCATCCCCGTTATGCTTTCCTCAAGACGATCGGTAATTGAGTTAAAAAAAAAAACCTCAGAAAAGAGTAAGCATCTACCTATGAATAAGACCTACATTTCCCTCCATTTGCATACCTGCAGTTTTCTCCCTTAAATTTTAATGAAACTGCCACTTTGCTGAGATGAACATGCTTCTTCCAAACATCTGCATCATTATATTCTCCAAATAAAACAAAAGTACAGTATCTCCCTGAAACTAGATTGAGCTCAATACTTTCTTACCTCAGTGGTTGAATCAGCCTGGAAATCAGTACAATTTTTTTTACTACTTTGTAAATTACTGGAGGTCCACAGAAGTTCAGAAGACAAGAGGGAGATGATTCCCCAAGAATACCATCCAAAGATTGCTATCAAGATTGCCAGATTCTCAATGACTCCTTAGGTGCTCCTATGTTGTTGCCTTAAACCAGTGTTGTCCAAACTTGGCCACTTTAAGATGAGTGGACTTCAACTCCCAGAATTCCCCAGCCAG